ATGCATTCTCTCGACATATCTCTAAGTTAGAGCCCCCAAAGATGTTCAAAATCTTGGCACTAGAGTCCTATCAGGGGAGGACTGATCTGACTGACCACATAGCCTCGTTTGATTCAACAGTGTCTTTTTTTTAAAATCAACAATGCACTAAAATTTAATCTCTTCTTTACTACGCCGAGGGAGTCAGACTTTGGGTGGTTCAATGCCTTACCACTGGGAGTAATCCTATCATTTCTTAATTTCAAGCAAATATTTGTGGTGCAGTTTATCAGTGCACAAAAATCTCACTAAAACATGTAGGCCCTCTTGCAGATCTGATAGGGATAGAGTGAACTCGTTCGCTCATTTATTACATGCCTCATGAAAGAGAAGTTGGAAGTGCATGACCTAGATCCCACATCTGTTCATATTGCCTTAGCTCAAGAGCTGAAGGAAGGATTCGTCTAGTACTTGTTAGGTTTGCAGCAACTGCTAACATTGGCTGAGTTGTTGGAGCTGACCATCAATAATGTATCAATAGAGGAGTATAACTTCACCTCTGTTTCTTCTAGAGTAGAGTCCCCCACCTATTGCACGTAGAAGAGAGCCCCTAAGACGAGGGATGGAGACCAAAACATGATTCTCTTTCTTCCTTCTGTTCTCGTTATGAAGACACTCAACCACCCTTAGGCAACAAGCCAACCGGCAAAACAAATCACCGAGGAAGTTAGGACCAGTATCTTGACCAACAATCAACTAACCTTAATAAGTACCTATTGATTAACCATAAAGTGCCCAAGATAACACCATTGAGAGTTTTGATGGTCGTGATAGTGAAGGCATTCAAAATAAAGAATTCCTTAAGAAAGCGCCCCCAATGAAGGTCATAGCTTATCTCTAGGACCCCAAGAAGTATTGTGCCTACCATCAGGACCATGGGCACGACACGATTCGAGGCTTAATCAAAGTGCTAATTAGTGTCACCACCGTTGCCGCCACGGGACCTCGCTTTCATCACCATACCACCATTATCTGACCACCACTTCGTTGGGCAGTCGTCAAACCATTGTCGACGCCATTGAACCACCCCAGGCCACCATCGTCGCTTTCGGACTACGCTACTAGCCATTATCCGGCTACCACCATCTTCACCTCCCAATCACCGCCTTCGGATAGGCCTCTTCGTTGCCCCCATCGGATCACCACCATCTGTCCGCCGCCGGGAATTAATTATTGTGTGTGTGTGTGTGGAAGGAAGGAATTAATTATTGTAGGCTTCACATGATCCATCTGCTGCTGCCTGCGAATGAAACAAAGTAGTTCACGCACACATGCAGTTGCTTGTCCTCTCTTCAGTCTCACTCCATGCCGCCTGCTCGGTGGAATCCACTGACTAAATATATTATTTCGGTTTGAATTTTGAGCCAACTAAAAAATAAATTAAATATTAAAAAATTGGGCATTTGTAGTATTGATTTATTCATAATCTTCGGCATTGGATCAGCAAAAAACATTTCTTTTAAGATACTCAAAGGCTACATCGTATTTCTCGACACGTTAACATAAGCATTTATCATTTAATATATATCTAATTTTATTCATATAAGTGTGCAGAATATATGTATATGTTTAAATATATAATTGTTGAATTACAAGGGTCAAAAATGAATTTTGTTAAGTAAGATTTATACTAAAGTTTAAACTCGGATGAAAATATTATTTACATACATACCACTGAATTGTTTTGTATTTACATATCTAGGACCTGAACTTCCATTTTTATATTCATGCTACCTAGGGGTGTAAATGAGGCTCACTCGTGTTCGGCTCGTTTATATTTCTTGCTCAAAAAGTGTGTTCGTGTTCAGCTAGTTTGTTTAAGTAGCCGAACATGAGGCGTTCACGAACAAAGAGATGTTTTGACAACCTTGATCAGGTAGCCATAAGATGTTAAACATTAGGGCAAGATTTAAAATTTTTTGTTTTATTAGAACATCATTTGAATATAATTTAATAGTTTTTATTCTATTTTCTTAATTAATACTTATAATTGATTATAAATCTTTATAGCCTTGTAGTCAATTAAGTTATTTAAAAATACTACTCATAAATAAATAAATAAATAAATAAATAAATAAATAAATAAA